CCGCAGTGACACCCCAATCTAAATCCACACTCACTCCACCTCAACTCCCCCATCGACAACACCACCCAGCTTGGGGGAGGGGGAAACTAGACGGCTGCCACTCTGCCAGCCCTCCTCACATCCAACCCAACTCAGCGTGGCCACGCCTCACCATCCTTCTGTCTGGAAGACGCTGTCGTCAAAGAAAAAAGAGATGTTTTTGCATTCCTTTTCCACCTCGAATGAAAGTGTTAACCTGACATCTGAAATGAATGTTCTGTGTAAATGAAATATACAGGTATTCCTTTCATTTTCCCACAAGCTATAATGAATACAAATGGATGTATGTCTGTGTGTGGTGAGTCTGAGAGTGAGTGTCATCCATGGCTGACTCTGGGTCTCATCACTTCCTCCTGTGGGTTTTAGTTTGGGTAATGAAGGCACTGGTGAGTAAGTACATCAGCTGAAGGCAAAAAGAAAGAGAAGTTGGCCATCAGGACCAAAAGGAGCACATCCTGAATAGTTTACTTCTGCAGCACTGTCAAAAACAAGACCTGAAGAAAACACTTAGTTTACCTCCTGACAAGAGTCTTAACACCCTCAAGATCACAGCACTTTGGTGTGTTTGGTGCTGGTTTGTGCTCCAGGTGTATGTCAACACAATGACACTTCAACACGTTCTCTGCCTGTGTAGTTCTGTTGAACATATTTCACCATACCAGACCGCCAGTCTTCATTTGATCATGTCAGATGTTGTTAAAACTGTTATATATTGAAAAATGTTCTGGGCAGCTGGATATGGGACAAAACAATTCAGTGGTTTGAGCAACTCCAATGTTGTACTTGGATCTCCTAAGAAGCCAGATAAGGTTCATTCAGGTTCCAGAAAAAATCGTTTCTCTAACGTGCTGCTTTCTAGATCCTTGAATTGCTTCAAGTGGCTTTTCTTGAAACAATTTCAAGACATAACCAAAGTTTACTTTGTTGTTTGGAAGAAGAGACTGACCAAACCTCGTTTTATTTTGTGGCCGTTACTCATGGAGGGGCCTTGACGCAGGTTGAAGATGTGGGTTCTAGTGAACACGCTGACAACATGATACAATAATCCTCTGCAGGTGACTGAAATGCTGTTCGTCTTGTTACATGGGTAAGCTTAGCGATGAGTTATACAGTTTATTGGCTTTCACCACCATGTTAAGGGATGGATTGAATTTGAAATGTGGAATAGCACTTGAAGGGTAGAGTCTTGCCCAGTGTTTTAGTGTCAAAGTTTGAAAGTGTACGTTTTAGACCCTGCAGTACATACACATCTATTTTTTTCCCATTTCAAAACCTTAAAATGCAAATAAATTCAAACATGTACATGTTGACCTGTGAACGGAGCAGTCCCTACATCACTGTTTATATTTTTATGTTCTTATGTAGAAGACTAGTATTTGAAAATATTTGTGTAAATAAACGCGTGTTTTATTTATCGGGTACATCTGGCTGATTTATATCTGTCATGCTCATGCAGGCTATCTTCTCACACTCATTGTATTAAGGTTGCAATGTGCAAATTATACATTTTTAAAGCAATGTTTCAATTGATAAATCCTACATCTCTTGATGCATAAATTCTGAAGAAAAAAATCACACAGAGGCTGTAATCATATGTAACAAAAAGATGAGACAAAGTCCGTAGTTGTAGGTGTGTATCTGAGCTTAATCAGGTTTCACTTAAATCTTGTGGCTATCTTCTAAAGTTAGTGTTAAAGTACAATACCCCCTCTTGGTGTTTGGTTAGACAGCCTTTAAACTTAAATATATTCCTGCACAAAGCAAGAACTGCATATTTTATCCACCTTACATTGGTTGTCAGTATGTACAAGAGGAATGATGACAACTGCTGATAAAAAACTACAAATATTTTGAGGACCACTTCAAAACTCACTACCACTTAAAAATGCTAACATATAGCTTATGGTTAAATACCTCTACAATGTCACCTGAGAAGCAAGTCAGTATTGGGACACTGCACAAAGCTGCTGGGTCCCAGGTTCACTGTGATTTGTTAGTGGAATTTTGCAACTTCTAAGTACACTATCAACTGTGTCCTAGATTTTTAGGTGATATGGCCCCATAAAAATCTAGTTTTTATTACCAGCCGTGGGTATCACCTTGTGAATCTGCGTGAGAGTTAATGACAGAATGAGAAGGCGACTGTCACTTGGCAAGGTACAGTCACAAACCTTCAGCTGTGTATTAAGACCAAGTCTGCAGAGGGATATGTTCTGACCCATGAGTACTTAAATAATCATGTCATAACTCAGTAATAACCATTGAATACTCATGCTTAACTGACGCTATCATTAAAAACATCATTACATCTATAAAAATCACTCATAATATTGTCATAACCAGTCTGACAGAGCTTAAATAAGATGTTTACACAACTGTTCCTGCCTCTTTCTTCTCTCCCCTCTTTTCCACCCACCTCTCCTCTCTTCCACATTTTTCTGCACTCGTCTGAACAGGTCGAGGCAGATGGCCGCCCGAGTCTGGCTCTAGAGCTTTCTTCCAATTAAAAAGGAGGTTTTTTTTCTCTCCACAATCGCCGAAGTGTTTGCTCATTGTGGCAACTGTTGGGTTTCTCCAAGTTTGTAAAGTCTCAACCTTACTATGTAAAGAATATTGAGATACATGTTTAGATGATGTTATTAATGATAGAAACATCAGTTAGGCAATGTGTCTGGTGTGATCCCATCACAAGATGATCTCTTATTTAAATTTTTTAATTGTGCTCACGTTATGCAAGGTCCTGAATACATTCATCATCAAATTACCACAAACAGATCCTGGGGCCAGTTTGCGCTCCAGGAGATTTGGTTGTTTGTGCTTTGTGCCAAATCCTGCATAAAGACGCCACCTAAAATGTTCTATACTCTGGGGGAACTGCAAGCAAGAGTTCAACAGAATAGCTCAAACAGCTCTATTTAGACAGACAGAGGAGAAGCAACGCCTGGAAACATGCAGCTCTATGAGATCATTTGAGTCAACTGATCATTGTTTGGTTTGAACACACTGGAGTAATAGTTTTTAATGTAATTTGTGAACGACAAGAAACTAATACATGGGGTGACATGCAACTAGCTCAAGTAGAAGCAGATGCTGTGGTCATAAGATGTCTCAGACATTTCTTATTTCATTCAGAGCTATTGCAATCTAACAGATGCAATGGTTGTTTGTTATTAACGATCATGGCAGTATCAGAGCTGAACTTAAAAGTGTAGTTGAAATGAGATTTATGAACAAATGAAGCACAAATTGACATTTTTCACTGACTTAATGGAAATGATGCCTTGACATTCATCCAGTTTTCATTGATTATAAACTTGTAACGTGTTTGCAATACCTCCAGGAATGAATCTTTATTAAGTGATGTGACAAGTTAACAAGTGAAATTTGAAATAGGATGTGAAACATCTTTAATAGCAGTATGCAACTAATAGTTTCATATGGGTTAAGATTTTACAGAGTACTGTCTTGTTCAGGTCACGTTTATGTTTGAAGTCAGGTATGGTGTGAGGTGACCCAACAAATGTGTCCGTCATTTTTAAAGATTCATCAAAGTAAAACTGATGAAAGGCAAAGGCATGTTTAAAATTCACTGAGAGTATCCAGCACAACAGTCATTGAGACCATTTTAATTGCTTCCTAATGGACTTGGAACCACAAGTTATTCAATTCCATTATGAATCATCCACTTACTCTGAACACGTCCTCTTTTCAAGCTGGACTTCTCTGAATAGAAACTTATGAAAGCTTCATATGACTCTAAATTAAGATTAAGCAGTTGCATGTAGTTGATTTGAAACCTTTTGTTAGCTAAATGGCTGAATTGCATACCCCCCAAAGTTATATTCTAATAAAACATATTGGCTGAGAGTGAAGTATGATCCGTTGAACTGGAAATAATGTGATCCCATTTATGATTGATTGATAACATATACTTGATGAAGGAACAACTGATCAGATATAGATTGGCCCTACACCTGTTATATTGTAAATGATGTTCCAAAGTTGTGGAACAGACTGCTGGTAGATATCAGAGAAGCTTAAAAAAAACTTCAAATATTTCTCTTAACTTCAGCCATTAACTATCTTACACTAACCTGCACTCTTTAATTTTTGTATCCCTTTCATTTCTGTTTATATGCATTTTTTAAATGCAATGTTATTCATTTTACTTTTTTACTTTCCTTTTCTTTTGAATGTCATTTTAACATGTTCTTAAAATCTGTTCTCTTCTTATATTTTAACCTGTTTACATTTTTTATCTAAATTGTATGTAAAGCACTTTACAACGCATTTCTTGTATAAAAGGTGCTATACGAATAAAGTTTACTTTTAAAGTTGACTTAATTTGTCTAAAACAGGACCATGGCTCAGGTAGTAGAGTAAGTTTGCTGCTCTTCTCTGGGTTAGTTCGATCCCTACTCCCTGGAGCCCAGGTTGCATAAGGAAGATCCTCCATCAGCAAAAACCTGTGTCAAGTCAGCAGCTAAGATACAGTGACAGATTTATTTGCGTGAAATCTTTAAATCTGCAGGAATGATTAAAGTGGGAAGTTGAATCAACAGACTTCTGCTGCAGGGCATTCGTTATTAAGTGAGTAACACACTGACAAGTACAGACAGACTAATTCCAAATCAAACAAAAGTCAGTATCATTTGTGTTATTTGTTTGCACCTCTGATGAATGTCAAAAAAGAGGACAGAGGTAGTGTATCATCTTAACAAATGTTCAAATACAATCACAAGATATTAGGAAGACCCCTTGTTATGCAACTCAAAATTGTTGTTTTAGACTTAAATTTGAGAATTTGAGCCTAAATAATATTTCTATAAGTAATATTATTACAGCCTAAACATTGAGCTTATGTGAAATATATGTAAAATTATATTTATTCCATCTGAGCAAATAATTATGATCATCATCATAATAATGGTGATTATAAGCTAGTCACATTCCCACATTCCCTAGTTAAAAAAGAGGTTCAGAGATGTCAGTCACTTTAGTTCCCATGGTGTGAAGCTCCCAGTCAGACAGCTGCTGTAGAAAGCCTGTGTTTGGCCTCATGCTGGGTTTACATTTCAGCAGATACTTCCAGGCCTCCTGGGAAAGCAAGTCAAACCAATAGCATTATGTTCACTGAATGTAATGTTGTATTCCAAACCAACATGCTTTCTTTCCATGACCCATATCAGTCTTGTGTGTGTGTGTATGTGTTAAAAATACTCATATTCGTGTTCTATTGCCAAGATGTAGGGGAGAGTGTGCTCCTCTAAAACCACAGCTTGTGCACGTATACACATACTTTGTACAAATTCAAAACAGTATAGTAAAGTTTAACATGATAATTAATGATCCATGGAGGTGCTGGAAGGTGATGTGATCATAAATTATGTTTTTGATCTTTACAAGCTTCAGATCGTACTAAAGGATGCAGAGATACCTGATTCCTGTCATTTTCTGACTTCGTTGTGACGTGTTCATGGCGTCTCTAATCATATGACATGATATGATGGGGGATCGTTTTCTCATCAATAGAAGTTTTAGATCGTCTCACTTTTATTTGCAGAGATATCTGAGAAAAAGTATTTTTGGACCTTGATATTTTGACAGCTCCAAATGTTAATGATCTGGAGATCCCCTCTCAAGTAATATGAAAATCCATCCACGCATTCCTTAGTTATTTTGTACACACTCTTTCTCTCACACCCACACACACACAAAACAGACAGGTTAAAACAATACCCTGCTTGCACAGCTATGCAGATGCACAGGGTGACAAACCTCACTTGCCTCCAGTGTGTATTTGAGGTGCTGCATGACAAAGGCAATGATAACAGCGCTGCAGCGGCTTCTGCCCTGTCTGGAAACTACTAGGACACGAGAGTCCATGTTCATGTGTGACCCTAAAAACAGGAGATAGATTACAATTCAATGAACATGAAAACCCAAATATAACCTCTGTCCTTTAAGTTGAAGTATAGGAAAGGATCTAATTGACATTCATTACTTTTCCAAATTCAGTTTCAGCAGTTAATACCCACTTTATTCATGTTTGTAATCTTGATTATTGCTGTTTAAACTGATTGATTAAATTACAATTTTGTTACTATGGCTTATTTCAGTAAGTATAGTTAGACTTACCAATAAAACTGCAAATCCTTTCAAAACTTGAATACAAATCAGAGAGCACTGAATTAGCCACAGGGATGTTAAGAATGGCCTGGTTCCCCTTCATGGACCTCGATCCAAACAAATTCACAAGAAATTCAGAACAAACTCAACAGCAACGGCATGTGACGGTCAGAGCTGTAATGATATTTCAGATAATCAGTCCTGCCTTACTCCAGAGTGTCAGTCTGTGAGATGCTGATGATGGTGCTGATTTTCAGGTCTGTGAGGATACTGGAGTCCACGCCCTGTTTCATGTCACCCATATACAGCTGCCCTGCTATGATCTCCACTGGATAAGTCTTCAGGTTTTCCAACTCCTGGAGCATAGAAATATAGTATTTCCTTAAATGGTGGCCAGGGCTTTCATTTGAGGCTTGTATTCTTCTTAATCCCTCAGTTTGATAAACATATTAGATCATAGCAGATCAGAAATGAATAGATAAAGTGACTATAAAGCAAAGAAATTAGGATAACCTTGTCTAAAGCAGCTTTAAATGGAAAGTATTGTAATGGAAAACTTGCATATGAGCTTTGCTTGAACTCTTTCCTATGTCTGATCAATGCTCATGTGCTGTGTTCAACAATAACTCATGTAGAAACACAATTGTGCTCGCATAAGAGGAACCGTCTGGCGTACATGCAGACGGACAATTCGAAACTAGACAGAGTTTCGAAACTAGACAGACACCTGTTGCTATGCACTTGGCAGATGTAACCTTAGAGTTCATGTCCTCACTTGTTGACCCTGATCTTTGCAGTAGCAAACTTCTTCTTTCATGCAGAAGCAAGAGCAGACAGCTTCTTGTGTTAACCAGACAACAGGTGGCTTTAGTTTTCATGCTATTATTCAGAAACWGTTGTCTCTTATGTTTCCTGTTTACCTGACTGTATAAAACCKTCTTCTTTCCCTATTCAGGGTTGTTCCACTCTGAGCGTTCATGCTGAGTGTGAAACCCTCTGAAGAGCTTTCTGTTAAATGACCTAAAGATAATTCCAGCCTGAGAAACTCTTAATTTCACATCTGGAGATAAATTTCCACCACAGTATACAGGTATGGTTAAGTACAGTATAGTAATAAATGTTATGATTCCAATGAACCTTAACAGTCTTATTTATGAGTGTATGAACCTTCAGGTCAGGTGAGGTTGTCTTACCATGATGGTGTACATCATTTTCTCTGTCCTTAAGAATGGGTACAGAGCTGAGAACCTCTGAAAGCCTCCTCTTATTATGTTGACCGGACAGAGACTCGCTTGAGCCAGGACCTGAGCACATTCCGCTGCTCTGCCTGAACAAAACAAGATGAACTTCACTTAACAGGGATATCTGTGGCTGAAATACTGACTGAGGGCACTGGCTGCTGGGAAATATTAGCTTTCATCTGTCAGAGAAGTGCAGGGGGATTAGGGGAATTACATACAAAACGTTGTCATCATAGCTGCACTTTATTATGTTATGTTAGTCAACTGGTAAATCAGCCTTTTCAACTCTTCAGAGCTGCTTTGATAAAACATTTAAAGGGATAGTTCACCCAAAAATTAAAATTAACGCATTATCTACCAACCATAATGCCGATGGAGGGGTGGGGGCAGCTATCGGGAGTTCTGATCAGAACTTTCTATACTCACAAGTTCTGGTGATAGCTGCAGTTACTACAGCAGTAACTTTCTGATCTCGTTACTGCAGCAGTAACTAGGAGGAGGACTAAAGCGGACATTTCAGCGTTTTCTGTTTTTTTATGTATAAGGAAGTGGTCGCTATTTACTTCAATTGGATTGGGCTGCAACACTGTTTACCCCTGAAACTCCAAAAATGATTTGTGGACTCAAACACTTCACACTGCCCTCCATTGGCATAGTGGTGAGTAGATTATGTGTGAATTTTCATTTTTGGGTGAACTATCCCTTTAATGCTTTGGACAGTTACCATTTTCCTGCAAACAGCTTGTGTTACTGTCGTAGACGACCACGTGCTGCATAGTGTCCACCTCCACAGCCACTGGCAGGAGGAATTTACCATCTGAATCCTGGAAAGAGTCACACAGAAGGTTTTGACTTCTCAAGTGCAGAATAATCGTAGGTGGGATTGTAAGGAACTCAAAACTAATCTGATATGCTTTATTGTTTGCCTCTACATTTCTTACACTTACACCCACAAACAATAAATAAAAGAAGGATGCCAAAATATTTCCATAAATATCACTCCTTTGAAAAGCAAACACATTCAAGCAGTTTAACATTTTATTGAAAAAAACCTTGGTAAGGAATTCTAAGACATCAGTGCTTGTAATTAATTGTTGTAATTAATCAATTGTATACTCTTTTTATGTTTGTTCTGTTAAACCTGCACTTAAGAATTCGGTATTTCAGTAGTTCTTCATGGAAAGAATACAAATGGCAGATGATTGCCCAGTGAAATAAACACTAGTCGTATATTAGTAGTAGTTTCCTTTTATATCAATTTAATTTGAATCATCTACAACATGTGTATACAGAAAGATACAATTAAAGGATAACTACACACAAGCCAACAACCTGAAACACCCACTGACTTATAATAATCAATCAGAACAAAAAACAATGAAGGTCACCGCAGTGGTTCATTCCTCTTGAAATTGTCCATACATTGCCACTGAGTGTAAAGTTATTCAAATAAACAGCCCCTTAAGCCTGTCTCTGGGGGAAATAAATCAACAAACACAAACTAATTGCAGCCAAATCCACCTGAGACTCCACAAACCTACAGCCTGAATCAGAGTCTCTAATCTCTTCTATATAAAGAGCGGGCACCAAATCATTGAGCCGCGTTTAAAAGCATGAAAGCCTGCAGGGAGCTTTCAGAACAACAATAAACAGCATGTACACAGTCCAGGTCAATTTGCCTCCGAGCAGTTCTGCTTGACAAAAGAAATGGTTCCAGTAAAGATGACTCAGGGTCCCACCAACCCACCTTCCTGTTTTTATACAAAAGCTGAAACCAACTGACTGATGCAATGCATGATATTAAACTGCACTTACTGAAGTGTAGCCTTAAAGAAACATTCTCTGATTCCTTAAACCCAAAGCTCATCATATATCTCACAACCAATTTACATTTTTCAAGCTTCCCTGAGATTTGACTGGAGGAGGTGGGCTGTGTAGAAAAGGTATGTACAAATTGAGGTTAGACGTTCTGAGGTAGGAGCATGAGGGAAGGCCATCTCTAGATCCCTTCATTCTTTATAGGTAACAAAGAGACTTGCATGCTGGCTTTTACTATTTCAAGGTCGATAACAGATCTGAGTTGTCGTTTATTTCTGGGTTGTCTCAAAATGCAATATCTCTGGAACACCACGATGAAAATTCTCTACATTTGGCTCAAACATTCAGTTGGTATCAAAGATGACCTGATTACATTTTGGTGGTCAAAGGTCAAAGGTCATCACTTGGAGAGTCCCTCTCAAACAGTTGAGAGTCTGGTTCTCCAATATTCTCCAGTATACTTTTTTATTGTTTGTGTGCTGGACGTTGTGTGCAGAGCATTTTATTAACTGTCTACGGTGCAGAGTGACGTTAGAAAACTTTGTGTTCATCTTATCTGGTTTATCTGTAGTAAAGATTTTATAGTCAATGTTTTTCATAAAATGAAACTGAATTAGCTTTATTACTGTTCATGTGTGTGGCTCTTATATAAGTTTGAATGATTTTTTACTGAACTGCAATTATTTCCTCATACATTGCATGTAGGTCTGTTAAGCAATCAACACAATTTCACAACCCTTCAAAATAAAAGCTCTGCAATTCAGCTTAACTGTGAAACAAATGACTAGTTGCTATGAAGTGATTCTTTGAATGTTGTTGCCATGACAAAGATCAGCAATGACAAAATGAACCACAACATTTGATAATCAAAAGGTCAAAGGCCAACTTCACTGTGACATCATAATATCCCTTACCTTTGTCTAGCATTAGACTAATTTAAAGTGCACATATCATTCATCAGACATGAATCATGAATCTACATACATTTATATCCATACCATTTTCACACTCTTTGCTGTTATGATGTGACTCGTGTTGTAATCTTGAATTTCACGTGCATCTAAAATAGATAGAGACATCACACAAGTAGGTTACAGCTAAATTTAAGCAAAGCAGCTATAGTCAGAAAGGCTCATATACAGTACATATGGTCACTTTGACTCTGGCACTGACAACATGTATAATAACTATAAAGCCTTTCTCTTACCAACCAAACAGAGGTAGTTGATGTCTGCCAGTCTCGACACAGCCCTGCACTGGTTGAGGAGGTTGTAAAGCTCAAACGGTTCACACGTCCTGACTTCAGACATCGCAGGACGAAAAACAACATGAATAATTAGCTGGAAACAAATATCAAAAATAACTGAACAGTGCAATCAGCCTGTGGGGAAACAAATGTTGCATCTACAAATGAGCGTGAACTCAGTTGTTTTCAAAGTTTGTTTATATGAGTCTTGTTGCCAAGCAACTCAGCCTCCTTCCTCATTGGTGGTTAGTGATGATGTGGAGCCTTAAAGTCACAACGATACATTTCTTGACCATGCAAATGATACATTTATCTACAGATCATACAATCAACATTTTGGCTGATTTTTGCTGAACATTCTAAATTCATAGTTTAATTTCAATGTGCAGATGGTTCTGATATTACAGTAATCAGTCAGCTGTTTGGCTCTTTGGATGCGTAAACAAGAGTTATGTAACCTGTCATGCCTTTTTTCCTCAAACAAGTAGAAGACAACAGGATGATCATAAAACACACGATTACAGAGTTTCATCCTTTGGTTACACAAACAAATAACATCCATGACAGTCCTGTTTTGGAAAGAATGGTTTCATAAGCATCTCATGACTGCTCCTCATCAGCTGAAGAAATTATGCAAATGCTCATCATTTAGAGGATGTATCTTTTGTTAAATTGTAGGACAAAATAATAGAAAGAGCTGTACATATACTGTGATACAGACAGGATAATTGTTAATTGTGGATAGCCAAAACCTTATGCCTAACCTTAACCATGACCAATTCATGCCTAACCCATAACTTAACCTAACCCCAACTCTCATCTGACCCCTAACCTTACCCAGGACCCTAGAAATGACACTTGACCTCATTAGGACCAAAGCCTGGTCCTAACCTAACCTCATCTACTTCAGACCTCTACTATCAACTCCTCTTTGGTCTCCTTAGTCTTGTCTTCTTTTAGTTCTCTTTCAGGCCCAGGCTCCTCTTCTTTCTTCTCCATCAGCAACAACCATCCTCTTACTGCTGCCTACTTGCTCACATCCTCCACAGATGTACAGCAGCCTTTTAAATGCATGCTGCTGCTCTCCACAGATAAGAAAAATAACCCAGAGGAGCCTCAGCTTGTTGACAGTGAAATGCTGTAATGCAGTAAATCCTTCAACCTAAATGACAAATCAACCACCTCTATGGAGAAATCAAAGTTAAAGGAATGGTTCCTCATTTCAGGAAATAGATATATTCACTTTATTTTGGACAGTTAGACGAAATAAGTTAAAAAGATCTGCCTGGTTCTGTCCAAAGTGATAAAAAAAAAATATTTCCTCCAGAGTTATCTGTCTCCACCCTAATACAAGTTGAACTGAATTTTGTTTGTGATGCTCACAGCGTTGAAAAGAGAGAAAAAATTGAAAATCTGCAATAGTCCTTGACACTCTGAATAATACAGAAACTGAATAATCAGTCAGTCTCTATAGGGAAACTAGCTACTACTAAAAAGAAATGGTTCCAAAGAAAGAAAATCCACAATGCTCTGCACAAATACAGTGAATACTACTAGAGGGAGGTCACCATTCTTTTTTCTCTGTATTTGGAAAGAACTGACGTGTATTTAAATCATTATTCACCAGTTGAATGACTTGTCCTTTCTTCATTAATTAATTCTGAACCTCATATGTCTGTTAATACCCCTCTAACTGAAAATGTGCTTGATCAGCTTTTCTCTACTCAGGTTGCGTCCTCTGTTCTTCTTCTTTGTCTTCTTCAATGGTCCCTTTCCCTCTGTCCTCTGACCTCCTCTCAGCCTCTTCCTCCTCTGAGCTGCTGCAGCATTCAGCCACTTCAGAGACCATTGTCTCTACAAGATTTGAGATCCCAAATGTTTGGCCGTGAAATGCAATGAATAAAACCAAATGTCAATTCATTCATAACAAATAACGTGTGGGTGTACCTTGCATTGTGTATGGTAAATACAAACATGGGGCTGAAGATGTCATTTACTATTTTTGACTTTTTCTCAACAGTAGTTAATTTCTTAAAACAAATAAAAGACGTTCCCAGTTGGTTGCGATTACTTCACCCATGAGCTCTCAGCTTTTAAGAACCAAGATACTTTTTGAATGTTTCCAGAATTGAATAAAACAAAACTGTAGAAAAAAGGTTAAAGTGATATCCACTCATTGGTAAATTTTTCCAAATACTTGCTGTAATCTGATGAGCACACCAAATACATTTTTTTCTTACAGTAAAATCAGACCCATGAAGCTCCTTACATGAAATCCTAAACAGTAGTCTTTTAGTCCCAGTGTACATGTGAATGTCTTTGTCCAGAGGGGGGCAGTGTTGCTCCATGTGGCTCACCATGAGACAGAGGGGACATCATGCATGTCTCTCTGGATGATCATCAGGCTGAGACTAAAGACAACAGGCAGTCAAAGCTGTGTGTGTTGATACTTTGGGATATGTAATGGTCAGATATGGTTCATGTGACATGTTACATTTACAAAAGTCCACAGTTATTGTTTGGATGTTTGTGTTGTTGCCCTCTGCTGCAGTTTGTCCAGAGGCAGGGCCGAATCAGAGTCTGCAAATAAGTGTGTGTGTGAGAGACTGAATGTGGGTGAGAATGATTTATGTTTATTTATGTGAAGATCAATCAAACTTTATTTATATACCATCTTCCAAAACAAAAAATGCAATTTAAAGTGCTCATCAAATCATTGGAGATGAATAATAAGAAATACAATAAAATTAAGAAATACTATACAAAATAAAGTAAAGCAGTCAAATGTTGAGATGCTCTGGAAGACTGTGGACACCACATTGATCACATTTGTTTGTTGCTGTGATACATAATGTCTGTTTTAATGATTTAGTGAGCTGTTTTTGAATTAAACAGTTTATGACATGGAGTAAAAAATAACACGTTTTGTCTCCAGTTACATAAGAGCTTGATCGTTAAGCTATAATCAGTTTACTCACATGATGGAAAATAATGAATTGTCATGAGAAATAATAAAAAACATGTATTCTATCTCTGTCTCACTACAAAAACACAGTTTTTGAGTTTTTTTTCTATTTTTTTTCTCCAAATCAGAACTAAGCTCATTCACTTTGAAATATCCTTAATTTTCCATCATTGACAAAAATGGAACAAAATCAGCAAACACAAATTCAATATTGAGACAGGGTAGCACAGTGTAAAGCCGCTTTCAGAGATGAACTCTGCAGGATGTGTGCACAATTTGGTCCGAACTTTCTGCCCATCTCTGTCTCCTGAATAAAAAGTGAAATACATGCAGATAAAAAAAATATGTTTTGTGTAAAAATGCACAGGTACAAAAACAC